AAAAAAAAAAAAAAAAAAAAAAAAAAAAAAAAAAAAAAAAAAAAAAAAAAAAAAAAAAAGAAAACAAAAACTGGAGGACCATAAGTACTGGCGAGGATGTGGGGAAACAGATCATCCAGCATTGCTGGTGGGAGTGTAAATGGTGCAGCCATGTTGGAGAACAGCACAGCAATTCCTAACAAATCAAATATAGAATTACAAGTTGAGCCAGCATTTCCACCTCTGCATATATCCGCAAAAGCGTTGAAAGCAGGAACTGAAACGTGTTACTTGTACACCCGTGTCCATAGCAGCACTATTAACAGTTGCCAAAGGTGGAAATAACCCAAACGACCTTCAGTGGTTAAATGGATTTTGAAAAGTGTTATAAACATACACACGGCTTCAAAGGAATTCTAGAACACACTACAGCATGGATGAGCCATGAGGACATCATGCTAAGTCAGATGAGCTAGACTCCAAAGGGCAAATACTCTGTGATTGTCCTTACAGGGGTACTGAGAGTGGTCAGATTCATAGACAGAAAGAAAGGTGGTTGCCAGGGACCGGGAGGAGGCGTAATGGGAAGACGTCATTTAAGGGTTATAGAGTTTCTGTTTTGCAAGTTGAAAGGAGTTCTGGATGTGGATGGTGGTGGTCATTGAAGGCTGAAGGCCGTTGAATTGTACACTGAAAAATGGTTAAAATGGTAAATTTTGTTTTACACGTGTTTTACCGCAATCAAACTGAAGGTAGGGAGCTGGGAAGATGTAGTATTGGCACGAGCTTGGAGAATGCTCACTTGTTATTCCACCAAATGAAAAGGAAATCAGAAGTGCACACAGAGCTTGAGTCCACCCCTGTCCACGTGTAAATGGGAACAGAGGCCGTGGCAGGTACAGGTGCCTCCTTGCTCATGGGGGAGCGTGGGTGAGAGGTGTGACTCTTGTTCTGCCATCTTTCTGCAAGGCTGGTCAGCTGCTGCCTCACATCAGCATGTTGTCAGGATCTGGCGTCCGTACTGAGCACCAACCATTCCCTGACCAGGCTCTACGTGGGGGAGAATGCTCTGGGAGACGCAGGAGTAGAAATTTTGTGTGAAAAAGCCAAGAATCCACAATGTCACCTGCAGAAACTGGGGTGAGTCTTCAGCAGAACGGTAACTTCTTTTCAGAGGTGAATTATTTGGAAAATGTGTTTGGGGGTTACTCCGGTCAGGCAGAGTTGAAGGTAGAGGAAGGAGGAAAAACAACAGGAATGCTGTGAAGAGCTGGATGCATATAGTGTATACTACTGCTAACAAGGCCATTTAGGCTAACTTATGATTATAGAACTAGAGTTTCTTAGTGTTGGAAGAAACCTTGGAGATGGTGCAGCCCAAATGCCCATTGAGGGAAAAACTTGCTTCTAAGATACTTGCACGAATAGTCCCCATTTTATGCGTTCATGCTTGCAAGCGTGCAAGTTTTGGCACAGTGCAGCCTCCACACTAGGAGAAGGATCTTACCCAGCAGCCTCCACACTAGGAGAGGGCTCTCACACTGCAGCCTCCACACTAGGAGAGGGCTCTTACCGTGGAGCCTTCACACTAGGAGAGGGCTCACACACTGCAGCCTCCACACTAGGAGAGGGCTCTCACACTGCAGCCTCCACACTAGGAGAAGGATCTTACCCAGCAGCCTCCACACTAGGAGAGGGCTCTCACACTGCAGCCTCCACAGTAGGAGAGGGCTCACACACTGCAGCCTCCACACTAGCAGAGGGCTCTCACACTGCAGCCTCCACATTAGCAGAGGGCTCTCACACTGTAGCCTCCACACTAGGAGAGGGCTCTCACCCTGGAGCCTCCACACTAG